GGTTTTCGGGAGGAGCCGTGCTGCTCTCTGATAGGAAGCAGGAACCATGCTCTCCTGTGTTTTAATAATCAACTCCAACATCATGACCTGACATTAAAGTTTAAACAGGTGGCAGGTGCCACCAGGTGGCAGCAATACCACAGGAGACACTCTTCCTCTTTTTTATGCATTGCTTTTATGAATTGCTCATGCATTTCATGCATGACTCCGTGCTCTGCTTTTTACCTGGATGGTCCTTGATGCACTTCTGTCTCCTCCTGATAAAGGTGTTTATCACCCACCCCTAGCTCCTGAAACTGCCTGGTGTAGCGCAACATCACTGAGTATATACTACATGCTGTTTGGATCAAACCATGTGTGACGCTGTTTAAGCTTAGCACAGGATATACCAAGAAATGCGTTTCAGGTCATAGATGGAAATAGAGGAAACAGTTTGATAGGAAGCCTGCTGAGTCTCTCTTATACAGAACCCTGTCCACATCTTCTGAGATGTTTTTCTACACTGATTGTATGATTAAGGGACACTATTATCAGTGCTTGCGTTCTTGATCTTTGACATGTTACTCTGTATCAGAATCAGAAATATTTTATTAAGCCTGAAGGAAATCATGGGTTACAGCCGGCAGCATGCTGGTTGGCACTTGCGCACTCACAAAGTAACGCTCCGACCAAACTCACGATGTCCGACCTCCGCCTTCGAGATAAATGTTCAAAGGCGTTTGGAATCTAGGATGGGGGACATGGGATGGGGACGAAGAGTCTAAACAGAGTCTGTTTGTTCCGTGCTGCGTTCGATGAGCACATTTTGAGAATTCACGACTTGTCCCATTGTTTCAATCGTCGCAGGCAGCCTTGTGGGGTTCTGAACAGCTGTTTCCGCCTTCTTCAATTTCCAATAAGCCAGGGCCAAGCCAGCTCCGATCAGCAAAAACCCCGTTATCATGGTTCCGAAAAAGTAGATGTCTTCAATGTCCTCGATCGACAGTCCTGCCAGGCACACGACCATCTAGTTTTTCCACCCATCTATCGTGTATCCGGCAGGGAACGTCCCTCCAGGACAATCGAGCTCCCCCCAAGCCCAGGCTTGATCAAATCCATAATTCCTCTTTTATGTTTTGGAGAACAGACTGTGAGAGTCGCACGTTGAGGATTCCTGTTGTAATCATCCTAACCAATTTCCTATTATACAAGGGCGATAAATTAGGTGCCCAGTTTCACTTTCCTGGAGCTGACAATATTTTCTATATGGGGTATCCTACAACTTTTTTCAGTCTGGGACAAGCTGAACTGAGGTTGATATCAGTTTGTGTCTCCAAATCCTCACCACAAGCCTCTTTGTGGTGTCCCAGGCTGAACAGTTATAACACTACTCCAGGCAGAGCGCAGATTCCTCCATCTAGTTTTTATGGTTAGCATATGGGTTCAAGGCCAAGCCTCGGAAGGGGTGATTTGGGAGTATGGGGTATTCAGTCCACTGCTACAGACAGTCTGGTTCTTATAGAGCTGCAGACAAACACTATATACTGGAATACAGATACCTTCAAAAATCTGGATTTATTTTCATGTATTGCCATCTTTAGAAAAATGACAAGATGCGGGTTCAGGTTTCACTTCCTTGATAACTTATAAGTCTCAACATTTCTTCCTATCTGCGTATATGTAAAGCAGTAACAGTAGAGTAATTCCTTTTCTTCAAAAAAAAACTAATATTCATTATTCAGTTACATTTTTTGTTTCTGTGTAACTGTCATTTAATTTTTTTAAATGGTCAAGACTAGCTTCAAACCAGTTAAAGCTCTGAAGCTTGTTTTGGTTAAAGCAAACCAGACCACATCATGGTCTTGGCTGGTTAGTCATGTTCTAATGCTTTTGCACAGTGTGTCAGTCTATGTTTACAATGAAATTTTCAGTGGAAATTTAAACCAGCAGCTTCAAATTACTCAGTCATGACATCTTTGAAAAAAAAAACCCAAAACATTAGCCATGAATCACTTCCTCCTCTGACCTCTGAACCACAGCTCTGCTAAGAATGTGTGAAATTCTCAGCTCACTTGGTTAAGCACACTTCAACCTGGTAGGGCAGCACATTGAATGGTCCTCTTACAGCATAGAGCTATTTGTGGACGAGTGAGACACGATGTGGATTACACTTTTTCTCTTCAACATCATCTGTTTTTCTATGTCCCAAGCTGTTGGTGAGTAAACTTACGACGTAATTGCTGGTATGTTTACAGTTATTTGCTTATGAGATGAGTAACACTAACTGTTAACAGCCTCTTAAAATACTTCTCAACTACCAGGTGGCAACAACAGTTTCCCAACGCAGAAGCCACTGAGTAAGTACTGGCCAAACAGCCGAACATCTTGCCTTTCATTTGTCTCTGAATTCAGACTTCAAAACTGTATCAACTTCTAATCTTGTTAATCGTTTCTGATTCCTTCACTTTCTGATTCCTTCACTTTCTGTTTGCTTCACTTTGGCAGGGTGTGAAAATGTCCTGCTTCACTGTACACAAACTACTCTTTTTTGGACACGGTAATTTAAATGATGGACATCTAAACATTCCTGTTTTGGATAAGTTGCATTGTTGTACTACATGAATGAATTAATGTGGACACTATTTGCTGTGGATTAATGCTGGATTTGACTTAACGTGACTGTCAAAACGAGAAACACAGATATACACAATAAATTTTGTTTATGGAATCAGACATTAAACTTATTGAAATTAAGATGAACAACATGTTCATATCTAGATTGTCATCATTTCTATGTTTTGAAATATCTGCCTCAGCTAAAGGCTACGTCCACACTA